AACATTTTCGCTGATGAGGATAGAGCAATGTACGCCCATTTTGAGTGAGATGGGGATAAGGTGAGGAAGCGACATAGGCGGGTGAGTTCAATGGCCTCATTTCTACTTTTGAAGTTGAGGAGGCCAAGTTCACCTTGTGGAGTGGGGAGGTAAAGGGTGTCCAGGCTGATTAGAGGTGTGTTTTGGTCTCCCCAGATGAAGCTACGAATAGTTTTGTCAAAGATTCTTTGACATGGTGGGGCATACCTTGCGCTGTGGTGAGGAATTGAGTCATTCTGCCTACTATCATTTGGATAATAAGAGATTTTCCCTAAAGAGTCAGGTGGCAGATTGACCATTGGTGAAGGGCTTTTGTGATTTTTTCGAGGATGGGAGCCCATGGAGTGGCAAGGGGGATTTTATTGCCAAGCCATGCTCCAAGCGGATGGGTTCACCATCTGCTGCAATGTGTATTGATAAGGGGAGGGGTTGTATGTGGGGAGAGATTTTCCTTGTCATAAGGAGGGTAGAATGATAATTGGGGTTGTCTATTGGTATGATTTCGGTCTTGGAGGTGTTGAATCGGGTGGAGGAGGCATTACACCAGGTGTCTAGATTTTCTGGAGCACTGAGAAATCATCGTGTTCAGAGAGATAGGTTGTTGTGTCATCGGCAAAGAGGGTGGTTATGATTCTTTGGAGCAGTCCTGGGATTTTGAAACTCTGTAGGTCAGAGGAGTGGAGCATGTATGTAAGAGGTTCAATTGCAAGGTTAAAGAGAAGACAGGATAGGGGGTCACATTGTCGTATGCCTCTAGTGATACGGAAAGGGGAACTTCATTCTCCATTGATGATGACTACAGTTTCCGCATTTTCGTATAGAGAGCGAACTGGATGGATGAAGGATTCCAGGATCTGTTGGTGTGTTAGAGTCTGCCAGAGATAGTCGTGGTTGATGTGATTGTACACTTTCTCTTGGTCTAGTGCAACAATGACACCATTTTCTTCAGTTGCTTCGGCGTAGTCAATCATAAGTTATGATAGTTGGATCTGGTTGAGTATGTTGCATCCCGGTACAAAGCCAGCTTGGTCGATGTGTATTAAGGAGGGGGCTACATTGGAGAGGTGGAGGGACAGGGCTTTGGTGAAGATTTTGTAGTCCATGTTCAGTAGAGTTATTGGGCAGTAGTTCGCTATGTCGCACCAGTCTTTTTTCTTGTATAGTGGGCAGAGCCATCCATCTGCAAAGTGGGTGTTTGGGGTAACACCAAAGTTTTGTATATCATTGTAGACATATGTAAGTGTACCGACAATATCGAAGGCAACTAGGCCCGCTTTTGTGCATTCTTCAAAATGGAGGTGTAGGATTTTCCAGAGTTCATATGGTAAGCCATTTAAGCCAGTGGCTTTCCCAGATGCTGATGCATTGAGTGCAGAAAGAATGTCAGCCTCATTTAGTAGGTGGGCAAGGTGTTCTGCCTCACTGGGAGATAGGTGTAAAGTTGTGTTAGCTAGTGCTTTATTGATGGCATTTTGACATTCAGTAGGAGTTGGTGTGTGTTCATTGTGTTGTATATTGTCATGCTAGTCGCGTGCAAGTTTAGCCATTTTGTCTGAACGGGTTTCATATGTTATGGGGTCTGAATTTGGATGACGGAGTGTAAGCATGCCATGCATACTTACAACATGTCGTGATCACATGACATGGTTCACACTATTTGTATCTGTTTGCTCCCTGATGACACTCATGTTTGACTGTCCTTCGTTGCGTTCCCTTACTTCTACTTATACGTAATGAAGGTATGTCTGGTTCATGTAGTGTCCACTTACTTCTACTTATATGCAATGAAGTCTCTTTTCCGTTCCGTCACCATTTGCTGCAGCCGCTCAGTGTTCCCGACCCGCATCGGGTTCCACTTTTTTTTGAACACCGAAAGAGATCCCCTCTCTCCCACCACATGGATCATCACTGTGTCCTTACCGTCTCCATCATTCCATCAAGTCATCATCTTCTGACAATTTTGGTCCCCTTGAGGATTTGAAGCCGCCACTACTGGGCGGCACCTATGTATACAATATGCCCAAGTATCTGGTAAGTATATTGTGCAATATCTGATCACCATTGTATAAGGCTAATATTGTATACATTAGTAACCACATTGTAATTGTACATAAAGTGCAGCAGATTGTTTACAAGTACAATGTATACAAAAGAGATTACACACAGCCAGGATTGAACCCTTAACCTCCCGGGGCGTGCTTACATAAGCACATGTTGTATACACACTTTTTCACTTAGCCACCTTGCCTTGCTACTTGTTCAGCCTCAATTGTACATAAGGCTACTATCTGTACTGAGAAATATTGTAATGTCTTGTAATGGCCACTACATTTCACTTATTACAGATAATCTAACCCTCTACTAATAGATATTGAACACTTATAATAGCTTTATTATAACATATTTTAGCTCTATTATAACATCTTTTAGCACTTTTAGCACAGATAGTAGCCTTATATACAGTTATAAGTGTTCAATATCTATTAGTAGAGGGTTAGATTATCTGTAATAAGTGAAATGTGGTGGCCATTACAAGACATTACAGTATTTCTTAGCACAGATAGTAGCCTTATATATAATTGAGGCTGAACAAGTAGCAAGGCGAGGTGGCTAAGTAGAAAAGTGTGTATACAACATGTGCTTATGTAAGCACACCCCGGGAGTTTAAGGGTTCAATCGTGGCTGTGTGCAATTTATTTTGTATACATTGTACTTGTAAACAATCTGCTGCACTTTATCTACAATTACAATGTGGTTACTAATATGTACAATATTAGCCTTATACAATGCTGATCAGATATTGCACAATATACTTACCAGTTATCTGAGACTATTGTACACATAAGTGCTGCCCACAACTGCCTGAATATAGAGATATGACACAAGAGCAACTCGGAGCAAGTTCTCGGAGTGCTAGTAGACATCCAGTAGGTGCTCCTTATAACATTATATGTAGGCATCTGGAAGTTCTTCCGATTGTGTAACCTGGTGAGCAATGTTTGACTTGTGTTACATTGCTCAACAACTTTTTGTTTACATGTATTTTTGTTCTAACTTGGATATTAATTTCTGTCCTATGTAACTATGTAATCTTCTTTATAGACCTCTACTACCTTTACTTTGATTACAAATTGGTTTAAATATTACTAGTCCTGTCACCGGAGATGACGAGCTATATCTGGACATCTAATATTGTGCAAATGTCCCATTTAACATTGTACATATGTGGTAAAATGTCAGACAGTTGTACATTTTTGTAAACAGGCTTATTCTCGTGACCTGATTGGCTGAGAAATGATGTAAGGCAAAATTTTTGCAGGCAATAAGAGCCGGTCATACATGTATAATGTAAGGCAGAATTTTCCCACAATCTCTGCTGGAGCGATATTGCCCACTGTCTCTAGTGTGTGTACAGTGCCTTGCATATGAAACTGCAGGTGCAGGTCCGCAGCAACTTATTTGTCCGGGCCAAATATTGCCTTATAAAGTTCTCACAAATGGCGCTGTGACAGGTAAAGTTTCGATTACATCTATGTTTTGTTGGCCAATGGATGTGAGCTGTACTTCAAGGACAATGCACCTGCTTGTATTTAAGCTCCTTAGTACCAGTCAAGATCACAAAGATGACCACTTGGTCTTACAAACACCTCATAGAATGACCTCAGAGATGCATACATCTTGAGTATCCAGCACTCTCTGGAATCTCAGGAATATTTTTACCATCTTTGCCAGAGAGTGATGATGTGCCCTTACATTTTCTGCCTTCTGCGAGAGGTGGGGACCCATGCATTTATGTTTGCTATGCTGACGTGACTGGGTCACAAGTGTTCACTACATAAGGCAATATTTGGCCCAGACAAACAAGTCGCCGCAGATTAGCACCTGCAGTTTCATACTGTAACTTACACAACACTTGCTACCCCGATGTAACTCAGGCTGGTGCAACCTTATATAAAAATTTCTCGCTTTTGCTGATGAGTTTGCTCACTAGCACTGGCAGCCAATGTACTGTAGCGAAACGACCTTAGGTTCACGAGGTGTGACCTGTGACATGCTGGCTTGACTTAGTTCACAGTTCACAAGTCGGTGTGACATGGGACACTAGTTCAGTTCACTGGGCGCCGCAGGCGCCCATGGCGCTGAGGTTGAAAATTGGATTTCCCTACTCAAGCTTGATGGCACATTATACAACCAGAGTAGTACAAGCCACAGTGGTTCTGTGCATACAATCTATTGCATGTAAAGACTCGCACATTCGGGTCAGCCGTGAATGGCACGCATACAGATAAGCGCCCAGAAATGAATATTTAGTGCCCATGACCATTCTGCTGCCCAGTTCACAATGACCTGTGACCTGTGAAAAGTGCCCAAATAGGTTCAGTTCACAAGGGCTGTGACCCTCAGTAAAAACCGGAAGTCAAAATGTAGTCAGCCAGTTTCAAAATTTTGGCAAATTTGACCATTAATGACTACTTGTGACTACTCTTATGGTTTTCTTATAGTGCATGACCTCATATAGTTTAGACCATGTCTGTACAGTTATGTTCCAACCCCTCTGTTGAGATATTGCAATTCATTGTGCGTGCCCTTTGTGGCATTCTTGTTCTCATCGGGAAAGGTAATCGAGATTCTAAACAAGATGGACAATAAGTAAAGTAAAGTGACCATTCTACGATTTTCGAATGCTCTTGTATCATACATAACAATAGCGTACTCACTACATAAGTAGCGTACTCGTACTACTTCCCCCTCAGTTTCTTACAGACAAGAGAACTGAGGGTGAGTTTATTAACTGCCAATTACCTTATGATTACTTACTGACTGCATACCTAGCCTACGATTATTCTACATAGGTATGCTTCAATATATTCTCAGTTTCTTACGGACAAGAGAACTGAGGCCTACGATTATTCTACATAGCCCGCAACTCGTAATCTCTACAGGTTATGAGCCCCAGCAGCATGTCGCTCAAAACCGAGACCCCCACTAATACACACCTTAACATTGTTCCGAAGCTCGCCACTGATGGCTCGAACTGGATCACATACAAGGAACAGATCCATACCGTCATGGGCTCTCGCAGTTTGATGCGACATCTCGAGGGCACCGCGCGCCGGCCGCCTGACCCCCTACCATACCCTCAGACAGCGCCAAGTGCCGCTGCGGTAACAGTGCCGAGCACCACTGCAGCAATGACAGGCACGTCTGCCACTGCAGCAACGACAACCACTGCCCCAACCCAACCTGCATTGACACCAGAGGAGTATCTTGCAAAGGTTGAGGCCGCTGAGAGCAAGTTGGACAATTTCTTGCAGAAGGAGTTTGCAGCACGGCAGCAGATCTACGGGACGATCAATGATGCGCTGCTTCTGCGCGTGAAGAAGCTCCCGACAGCTGCGGACGTGTGGGGTGCTATCCAGAAGGAGTACGAGGGGAAGTCGGAGATGTACTCCGGTGCGGTGAGGACTCGGCTTCAGAATATGAAGTGTGATGAGGGAGCAAACATCAGGACTCACCTTGATCAAATGCTCAAGTTCCGTGAAGAGCTGTCTTCGATGGGCGCAGTGATGGCGGATGCGGATTTCTCAGCATGCATCTACACGTCGCTTCCATCCTCCTATGGCACACTTCTCACGGCACTCACCACTGCTGCATGTCTATCCAAGAACACACTCACATCCGATGATGTTGTCTTCGCGATCTGCGAGGAATTTGATCGCAGGAGCCAAGGCCAGACTTCAGAGACTGCGCTGTTTGTCAAGCCAGCCAGAAAGTTTGCATTGCGAGGAAAGGGGCAGAAAAACTCGAAAGACATCGAGTGCTTCAATTGTGGCCGAAGGGGCCATATGAAATTGGAGTGCTGGCCACACCTTTTAGTCATGTTACCTGAACTGAACTCCCATTTACCCTGACATTGTCATGAACTGGACAGCCAGCGGACGTCGGCCCATTGTCACCATGTTGACCTCTACCAGCAGTGGGCCCATACCTTTCATGTGTGGGATACTAGCAGTGGGCCCACCGCTAGTGTTCTTATCCCAGTGCTCGGCCCACTAGCAGGGCATATTACAGTGTTGTAACCGTTAAGCAATGGGCCCACCGCCACAGGTCAGAGGGTGGGCCGACGCCAGAGCATGTTATCGCCATCGATGGGCCCACTGCCAAAGTATGATCAATGAGCAGTGGGCCCATCGCCACGAGTGTAAGATGACGGATGGGCCCACCGCCAAAGGTCAGAGTGTTGGCCATGGCCAGAGCATGTTTGTCTGAGCAATCGGCCCACCACCAGAGTATGACGAATGAGATGACGGATGGGCCCACCGCCAAAGGTCAGAGTGTTGGCCATGGCCAGAGCATGTTTGTCTGAGCAATCGGCCCACCGCCAAAGTATGATGAATGAGCAGTGGGCCGATCGCCCAGAGTGTAACCTGAAGGATGGGCCCACCGCCAAAGGTTAGAGGGTTGACGATTGCCAGAGCATGTTATCGCCAGCAATCGGCCCATCGCCAAAGCACCCTCAGTGAGGGCCTTACTGCAAGCACCCATGGGATAGGTCATCGCCAGGACATGTTTCCACCAGCAATCGGCCCACCGCCAAAAGCCAGTGGGTTGGCCAACACCAGAGCATGTTATCGCCAGCAATCGGCCCACCGCCAAAGGCCAGTGGGTTGACGATCACCAGGATATGTCATCGCCACCAATAGGCCCATTGTCACATACAGCCCTGCAGTTTCCGGGCGCATTGGTGGTGATGACGTGCTCTGGTGATCGCCAATCCTCTGACCTTTGCCGGTGGGCCCATCACTCACCAGCACTCATGGCGGAGGGCCAATTGGTGGCGAAAACACGGCTTGGCGATGGCCAACCCTCTGACCCTTGGCAGTGGGCCCTTTGCTGGCGGAGCGATATTCCCATGCAGTGAAGCTTTCACTCAGGTCCTTTGGCGATGGGCCAATTGCTGGCAACAACATGCCTTGGTGATGGCGAGTGCAGTCCGCCCATCTCAAGAGTACACTGGAGGAGCGATGGGCTTTAGAGCTTAGTGATGCAGAAGTGAATGTATCCATTTTGTACTGGTATACAAGCTGTTACATAGCGGTCATATATTGCTAACACCAAAACGCTCAAAGACACTAGTTCAGTTGCTGTGATACGCCTCGCCACGAATGTCCCTCAGAATGTACCCCATTTGGAACACGGTCGAGCTGGCATTGAGGTTCGCAACGTGCATATCCTCAGTGAGGTTGAGCTCACACTGAAGACGTACAATGCGCTCCCGCAACATGGCGCGACGACGACTAACCGCAAAGCTATCACCTTCGTCATCGTCCACTATGAATAAGGTCAACATCAGACTGAAGGTTGCCAGGGATGTACTCACTGGAACTGTCTGCCTCTGCTGCGATCTGTGCAAATGATCTACCGAGGCGGGCCACTTGTGAGCCAGAAGCGGCATTCGTCTCTCCAGGGACTGCCATTGGCAGCAGCTGTGTGGTATCTGGGAATAAGCCTGGAACCTGTTCCCAATGGGTGGGACGATGGATCGGCAGCTCATCTGGAAGTGCTGCCAGACTTGGCATCCTGGAAGTAACAGTGACTGGCTCGATGCTGCCTTTCATATAGTGAATGACAGGTGCATCGTGGCGGAAATTGCTGTCATCGAAAGTGCGAGCTGGCGAGTGAGAGGGCGCCGATGGCGGAGGCGGTGGACTTAAAACATCGTCCAACAAAGGCCGCCTCTTTATAGGCGAAGTGCTGGGACTATTTAGCCAC